GATTCTTTTAGCTTCTACTTGTAAAGAATTTTGTCCATTTACTTGTTTGCTGAATGAGGAGATGGAATCAATTTCTTCATTGAGTGAACCGAAACTAAGTGATATATGTCTATCTTTAAATCCTAAAAGCTGTTTGTTTTGTTCTAAAATTTTATCATTTTGTTGTTGAATATTTTTAATTATAATATCAATTTCTTTATTTTTAATAGATGTAACACCGCCTTCAATATCATCCAAAAACTTTATGTAATTTAAAGAACAAGGATTAATTAACTATTAAATTTTTTTTTAAAAAAGTACTTTGCAAATATAATATTACATACCTTTTTCATTGCGACAATATTATTTTGTAAAATTGTAAAGTCCTTATCCATTTGTTCTTTTGTGGCTATAGAAATTTCCAAATTCAAAATATCGGAACATTCATTAAATTCTCCGATAACTGATTCAAATTTATCTTTAATATCCCCGCTTGTAAAAAATCTTTTAAATTTCGATAAATTAGAAATTTCAACACAAAATTTCTTAATTTGTTTTAAACAATTTACAAATCTTTGAAAAGAGTCATAATAACTTTGTTTACAAAAGTTTTCAAGATTATCTTCCGATTGCCTCATTAATGCTTTAATAGCAATTTTGGCAGCTTCAATCCGATTAAATAATATACCACAAGTTCTTTTATTATATTGAACATTTCATATACTTCTATTATTTCTTTTACCAAACCTGATACAATAGATACAAAAGGTAGGTAAGGACCAACAGCATCTGCAATATTTTTGACGTTTTCAATGTGAAAATTTGTTTCTTCAATTCTTTTATTCCTTTTCGGTTCTCCGCGGATATCGTAGAATTGCACAATAATATTCGTTTCATCGTCGGTAGAAACACTCATTGATTTTTGTTAAGAATTATTTTAAATTTTAAAAAAAACTGATAGAGTTATATGCAAAAGATTTCAAACATTCCTTCTCAAAAATAGCTTTCGTTTTTTTGTGATTTCAGTTTTCACACAGAAAAGATGGTTGCAATAACAAATCAAATATGTCCTACGCTAACTATAATTTCAAAGCAAATTTGTCTTTTTTTTTAAAAGAAAAAAAAAAAAAAAAAAAAAAAAATGGAAAATGAAAATAAAGAAAAGAATTAATAACTACTCACCCTTATAAAAATTTTTTGATGCAAAGTGCTCCTCTATTAAAAAAAATTGAACAAGTAATTAAAGAAATTGTTCAAATTTACAAGAATATTCAGTTTAATAGAATAATATGTGATATATTATTAGATAGAGTTCACACAATCGAAACCTTCGTGAGTTTATCAAAGTATTGACCAAAAGTAATTTTAACAAAAGCTTCAGAACATTATTATAATACTTCTATACATACCCAACAAATTCATTATAACTCTTTACATCAGTTATTAAATTTATTCGTTGAAATAAAAGAATTTATCAATGATTTATCTCAACTTGGAACGTTCAGAAAGTATTCAGACGAGTCATCTATTGGAAAATTTCAAAAAATTATTAAAAAATATAATGAAGTGTGTTCTTATTTGAAAATTGACTTGCTAAAGAATATGGAAAGCAAAAAACTATCTTTAATATTAAACTTGAAAAATAATAAAAAAGTACATAATTTTCTTTTCTAATATATCTTAATTTTTATTTAATAACTTTTATATAAATCTTTTAGTTTTAGAAAATATTCAAGGTGGAATCGTAGATAAGAATAACAATATTAGTACAATATTTGAAGAAATAGATTCTTTAAGAGAAATGAAAACTTCATTGAGTTTCAATATGGCAACACTAGCGCTCAATCCTGGTCGTAATTCATCTGATTATCGTAGTTCTATTCGAAAATTGAAATTAATGGATTGAATGTCGCAATCATACCACTAATTGGATTTAATTCATTATCAGATTATAACGATCGATTAATAACTGAAATGACTATATTGAAAAAGTTAGGACGATGCAATAATATCATTAAATTTATTGGTGTTGTAAAATTGAATATTGGATTCATTAGCATTTATGAATGGGCAGAAGATGGAAATTTAAAGGATTATTATGAACTTCAAGGAAAAGAATTTAACTGGAATGATAAACTTCGAATTTCTCTTGACATTTGTCGTGGCTTATGTTTTTTACAAAATGCAAATATCTCACATCGTAATCTGAGGTGTGAAAATGTTTTGGTTTGTATATTTTCTTTCCAATTTCATTTTATAATGTTTATTTATTAACAAATTTATTTATTAAGCTTTCAGAACGTCTTGAAGCTAAATTAACAGGATTTCAAAGAAATTGTGCTTATATCCTTCAATTTGAGAAAAGAAACGATAAGGGACAAGATGAAATAAGATGGTCTGCTCAAGAATACTTGGTTAACAAAAATTGGAATGTTAAAAGTGAAGTATTTAGGTAGCGCATAAATAATTTTTTTTCAAGTTTATTAAAAGTTAATTTTAAAACTAAAATAACTATATTTATAATTTTAGTTTTGCCATGTTATTATGGGAATTAGGACATCATAAAATTCCTTATTCTAACAAAAATATTGAAGAAATATCTAAAGACATTATATCTGGAAAAAAAGAAAATTTTGACAATATTTTTATATCAGAGGATTATTTAAAAAAATATATGAAGATAATAATTAAAGGTAATATTTAAATTATAATGAACTGATTTACTA